TTTTTTATTTAATGGAGCCTTTTTATTTTATTGATGAAGCCAGTTAGAACATCCTTTGTAACATAAACAGTGGTAAGAGTCAAACTTTGTCCTGAAAGTAACTTGTTTATATGGAAATAAAAAACAAAATTTTCCACCACAAAAATCTTAAGATTTTTTATCCAACGAACTGCCTGCAGATCAACAAAAGAAATAATGAATTGATAACAACAGTGCTGAAAAAACAAAAAAAAAATTGAGGAAAAGCTAAAAATAAAAAAGACAACAGATCCCTGCAGAGATAAGAAATTTGTAGAAGAGTATGGGTGGATTGAAAATATCCAAAAGTACAAAGCAACAGTTTTAACCAAAGTATTAGCTTATTTTTAGATATATTATATTATTTTAAGGTCAGTGTATAACATTTGGTGTGTATCAAGGCTCTGTGCAGGCTGCCCATCTTAGAAATGTGCAACTTGAGAGTAGGGTTTGACATCGAAATGGATTAAAAAATTTTTTTTTTCTGGAATCTTTAAATTTTTTAATTTCTGATTCCTAATTTTGGCCTTGACTGCCAACCAGAAGAATAAGCCAATGACTAACTAAGAAGGATCCATAGTAGTGTGAGTCTACCCGAACACACTAGTGGCAGCCTAGTGTTTAGGGCATAGAGCTTGGAGTCCCGAGGTTCTGAGTTCGAGCTCCACTCCCACAGACTGCAACTCTGGGTCCCTGAGCAAAGACCCCACACTGCTCCCTGGGCACCGCACAGTTGCAGCCCACTGCTCCCCATGGGCATGGGTTAAATGCAGAGAGTTAATTTCGTTGCTCTGTACTTGTGACAGAGTAATGAGGAAAAAAAATCAATTTGTGTGGCGGAATTTGAAATATGGCTTAATATTAATGAAATTACCATTTGGTTGTCTTGGCAATCATGAGGTACATCAAACATGATTAAACATGGCGAAACTCATGATTAATATTCTATTTCCATCTGCCAAAGCTGACTAGGGTTTTAATGAGACAGAAGCAGACATACAAAAAGAAGCAAATCTACAAAGGATAACTTTTGGCAGCATTATCTCCACAGGTGGCCCTTTCCAGGAAAGAAACAGTCAAGCAGACAAGCTCTGACCCAGCTCCCATGTCATAAGATTAAACAGACCCCATACAGTTAGTAAGAGTGAAAGAAACAGGATCATCCTGATAGAACAGGCCTATTTCCAAAATCTGTAAACAAAGGTGTATAGGGCAGCAGTCCAGCTGATATTTCTATCTAGGATGGTGTCACAGCCAAGCAGGAACAGACAATATGGAGCTACTATGACCAGAAAAAGCCCTGGAAGAAAACGTTTGGGGTTAAACTAACAAAAACTGCAGAACGTCAACATAGACATATAATGAAACAGAATGATAAAAAGTGGTCCCTATGTCCTCCAGCAGTCTAAGCCTATAGCAGCAAAACTATAGAGATAGCTTGGCCACTCTAACTATAAGCTTAGCCAAAAAGGAAAGTTTTAAACCAAGCCTTAAAAGTAGCTTTATATGGGAGAAGAATTTTAAATTCTGCTCTGGCTTTAAAAGGAAGCCAAAGAAGGAAACCTAAGATTGGAAAAAATATGGGCTCTCTCATTTTGCATCAGCCAAAAGTTTAAACTACAGATTACTATTTTGTTACTATTTTGCTGCACTGGTTTTTACTAAGGTAGGTGCTCTGAGAGAATTTTCATTGATTTGTTAGTTTTAGTTCACAATATTAACCTTGGTTGCCAGTTGCATTCAGAGGCAGTAAACCTGGAAATTTTATCTGTCTAGAGCTCCAAGAGGCTAAAAGTTGCACAGTGTTGCTTTAAGGGTTTTAGAATTTTCTGCAAGCATCTCTATTATGTTTTTTTTTTTGTGTTTGTGTGTGTGTGTGTGTAAAGGGCAGGAGGGAGAAAGTCAGCGTCTTACTTATGAAATTAATTTATTTATTATTGTTAATTGCAATGTGACCAAAATTGAGTTGCTCCAAGATTTGAAAATTGTGTCTTTTTAAATTGCAGTTATATTGCAAATGCAATAACTTTCACTTTCTCAGTGACTTATGATTAGACATTAAAAAAAACAACTGAAGGATTTCAAGCTACTACACAGGTACAGATGTATACAGATTGCAGTAGAAACCTGAGGTGTAATGAGTCTTTCCATTTCTTCCCAAGGCTGTAGGGTCCTCAGCAGGGGCTTCTGTGGCAGGCAAAGTGTAAATAGAAAATTTAGCTCAACTTCATAAAAGAGCATAGAGACAATATTTCTTAGAACTAACCTGTAGAAGGTCTAAGCTGGAACACTAACTTCTGAAATCAATGAATGCAGAAGAATGAAAAGGAAATGTTCCATTTAGTCCATGCATCCCTACAGAGGTTTGGAGGTTCAGGGCAGGTAAAATTAATTCTGTAAAATGTATTTATTATGCAAAATTAATTAAACGAAGAATAATAATTATAAAAAGTAGAAATTTGGCAAGTTCCTCCATGTCAGAAGCAGGTGTCTTAAACATGTTAGATATAGGTTGTTTATAAGTATTCAGCACAATCTCACTGAAGAAGAATGAAACTTGTACTTTATGTTAATATCCCATCAACTGTTTTTTCTAAATATGTTTTGTCTGCTTTCTTCCTTTTCCCTTATCAGGCCTTCAGGAGCAGCCATCAACCCCCTTCCAGGTGTTTTCTGTCTGTGGGCTGACAGCTCCTGCATGTTGAGAGTTTGTCCAAGAACAGAGTCTGTTTTCCTCACTCAGCGGCAGTCTCCTGATATGCGCCACCAGGACTCCATCATGGTTCTAAGAGAAAGACTGGAAGACCCCAGAGTTTGCAGAGAGGTGAATCTTAAGTTTGATTTACTTTTTAGGCAGAAGTTTTTCCCAAATATTGAGCGGACATGTCTGAAACATATGCACATCTCCCTGGATGTTGCATTGTATTGCTACCATAGAGATATAACAGTTTATTTCTTAAGTATTTTGATTCTTTGAACTTTTTGTATCATTCTGACCATAGCTTTAAAACTATATATTTTTTTTTATATGTATGTAATATAGCAACACAAATTAGTTCATAGTCGTTAAGTAAAAAAAGGGATAACATTTTGATGAAATAAAGTAAAATGAACCTTTTTAATTAATTAATTCTTTTTTTAAAGTTTAATTTTACCTTGATACACCTAAATAAAATCTAATGCAATGTATCACGTTAACACCCCTTTCTCACTGGCCAAAAAATGGCCTGCCAGTGGGGGTCAGATCAACTTTTTTTGAAAATGGCAAGGGAGTAAAAAGCCGATTGCTGTGTTTGAGAAACAGTGTTAACCTGCTAATTACAGTGGGAAAGAGGCTTTAGAAGTCAACTTTTGATAATCCAACAACACAAAGCTTTCCTCCTAAGCATAAAGACAAAGAAAGGAGAGCAATGATAAGAGAAACTCCTGAAGAACAGCAGAGATCTGCTACTCAGATGGGAAGACCTGTCAACAGGTCAGCCCTTTAGTAAGGACCTTTATGAAACACTTGCAAGAAAAAAGCACTGCTGAAAGAAAACCACAAGTTTTTGGAAGAAGGTCCTCAAGTCAGATAAAACCCAAAAGCCACTTTTAATGCTTAAAATGCTTTGTGCGGTGAATCACTAACCCCTCACACCACATAGGACAAATCCTCACTACCTAAAAGCATGATAGTGGTGCCATAAGGCTGTGGGGGACTTACAAAATCATAGGATCTCAATTTTAATGGCTATTCTCTTACATGCATGGTAGTAGTCAAAGGAAAGAGGAATGTAGTTTGCAAATGAAACACATAAAAAGCTTGTTTTATACCTTATAATGATATATGTCTCTGTTCAAGATCAACATCCTGAGAGATGCTGCCGGGGAACACAAGCGTCGTAGAAATGAAGCTCATCTAATTAAACAAAGTAAGTGTTTTTTTTCCTTCTATTTCATATTTAAAGCACGGAGAATAAATAATAGTATTTTTGTTAGCTTTAGTTTGTTTTCAGCAGAAATGAAGCCATCACATTAATTGAATAAAGGACTTCATTCAAACCATTTGACATAGGATTACAAGCGTTTCAACATTGTGAGAGTCCTAACCTACACCCTATGAGAAAACACTTCTTATTCGTTGCACTGAAGTGTCTGTTTACCCATGCTCCAAGTATGAAGGAGATGATTGACCTCCACCCACCAGAATATAGTATGCGTCTGGAACAGAGCGACTCTAAACACCGGCTCATATTGACGTTCATTCATTTTTAAATTGGTTTATCAGCGCCACTCTGCTGTGTTTTGAGAATCTCTGTTTGTGTACATTTGGTGTCCTCTGATAAAACTGCAAAACCCGAGGAAACGGTGCAGAATGTTACCCGTCAATCTGACTAAATGAGTATTTGAGTTGTCAAACCTGATAATCAAAGGATTTTAGGATATAGCTTCAGAGCTTATATCGCGTAGCCCTGTCCTGTGTGGGCACAGACGGCTCAAATGTGAAGCCTCTGCGTCGGTTTGTGAGCACACAGTCTTCACTGTGAACATGCAGGAAATGAACAACCGCAGATTCATTTGTGCAAACACTGGGATCGTCTGACATCCATCACTTACAAATCCAAAGAGCCTAGAAAAAACACTTAACAAACTCCTTAAAAGGAGTAGTCCTCTGCACGTTTATTTGCACGTCCTTCGCGAGTAGACAGAAAACGAGTCGATTGTTTCTTTTATTTTCCACCCGCCGTCTGTTTGACATGCCCAGGCTGGTATGAAAACGCACGCAGTGAAAGATTTTGATCCGATTTTCTTTTTATACCCGTTTAAAAAGCACGTTCTGGATCTCTCTCTTTAACTTGGGCCCCCCTCCTCTTTCTGGTTTCCATAGAGATGGCAGATGGTGGTATCGACTCATGAAGGCAGGCAGGAAGTATACTTCAGTATTGACCTTAACTCTGTCCCGACTTCTGCAGCCTTCCATTAAGTCTCTTGAAATAACAACTTCTCAGCAGGGAGTGTGTGTTCTTTCTCAGGCCCAGCTGCGTCGGACGAACAAAACATCTCATTTGTTGCTTTTGGATTTGTGGATTGAGGAGTCAAGATAGATCTTGTCATTTCCTCACCACTGGTTTTGGGTTTTAAAGGAAAGGGAGATGTTTGATGTCACATCTTATATTTAATTTTTTTTTTCCATCTGGCACAGGGGACACCAAGGAGCTTAATGTAGACGGGAATGCACTGTTGGACAATGTGAGTATTTATAAACAATTTCTTAAACCACTAAGTACGGTAAAATAAGATAATTTTGTTTTTGTTTCAAATCATGTAAGCATGGGTTGCTTTTCACCCTTAGAGCTTTTACTCTTTACAACAATTAAACCTCAAAGTAGTTTTTGGGGTAGATCATTTATATTTTTAATTAATTAGAAATAAAAAAACTAATAAGGGCAACATGCATATGCAGTCATATATAACCGCCAAGTTTATCAGCTTAGGAGATTTAGGGAAGGTATTTATTTTTCCCTTTAACAATTGCTCAAACACAGTCATATTTTTTGAAAATATCAATATATATCAATTTTCCATCATACCAATAATTCCCTGTTGGCTTCTGTGGACTTTGACTAGGCCAATCTTACAAATGAACATGCCGTGATCTATTCCTTTCCATTGTACCATTAGCTAAATGTTTTGGGCTGTTGTCTTAAACAGATTTCTTCAATGATTAGCTCTATATTTACCTCCATCCATCTTAAGGGCAGGTTATACTTCAGCAACCGCACACATCAAATGTTTTTCTGCACCGTCGCTCTGGAATTTCTAGGGAGGCACAGCAGTTTCCCTCCAAAGCGCAAGGCGCAGCCTATTCGAGAACTCGTGAGAACTTCGGCGGATGGTCACGAGAACCGGCGCCGGCGGGAGTGTGTATATTCCAAAACAACAATGGTGGGCCTGGAAGATATCACGGTCACGGATATGGATCTAGTGTTGCTAGACATCGAAGAGGAACAGATTCTGTTAATGGAGTTGGCAAAAAGACAGATTAACCTTGTGTCGTAGTTGTCCACTGTAGTTGTTCCTCAGTTTTTAAAAATGGCGCACCCTGGGACTGAATCGAGAAGCATGACCACTCAGACAGCCAGAAAAGCATACCAAGGACCAATCACAGCTGCTTTTGTTCTGCACACTTCCGCTTGAGGTCTGCGCGGGTTTGTGACCGTCCGACACGTAGTCAGGATTTTTTTTTTAGGTACGCGACGACGATTGCAGTGATCACACACAGAGACAGATTTGACGGTTGCAGAGCCTGTGCGTCAGAAGCATAAATTGGCCTTTACCCATCTGTGGCTATTTACATCCCGGGGGATAGCTGATTAAAGCCAGCCTTTTGGCAAATCCAGGAATATTTATGTTTAACCTGTTGACCTAACTATAGATTAGCCCTCGCTCTTTAGAATTAAAAAGTATCATCTTCTATTATCTCCAGATCATGATACTGCTATGACTTTGCTTCACTATTGAAATGGTGTGTTAAGGGCTACAGTATGTGCAATGCTAGCCAAGAAATTTAGATCATGAATTCCCTACTGCTCTTCCATAAAGGCCAGAAATCTTAGCAGCACAGTGAGAGTCTCTTATCTGTCAAGGTGTCGTCTTAAGACATTTAATATATAGTACCGTAAGTGTGACACAGGATGGATTCAAATGCACTAAAGGTTGATGAGGTTGTAAGGTGACAAAATGAGTAAAGTAATGAACATTGCAAAGCACTTAAGAAATGATATGCATTCGTCCTCGAAAGTATGTTTGATTTTTGTGTTTTCTGTTTGCTGTTATTTAATTGAAGGTTTTTGAAGATCAGCCGACTTTGTTTTTAATTGACACTGATAGTGAAGAAGAAACCTCATCCTCACTGTCCGGTAAGTCTTCTCCTTCTGCTTCTGAATGATTTATATGTGTTTATCCGTCTCTGCCTCGGCACGCTCAGTACTATTCCCATTTCATTATGAAAGCCTAATATCTGTCTTAAATGACAAACGATTAGGACCTAAAAGAACACAACAACATTTTTGTGGCTGCAGAGAACAGTAGGGGTTTAGGAACAACCCACTAGCACCACTGGAATCCTTTTTGGGACTGGCACAATATGCAGGCCGACTGCTGTTTTGAATCACATCATTGGAAATCAATATTCACAGTGAAAAGGAGACATGCGCTGACTGGTCTGACTCACAGGGACAGTTTTCCTCCTGGATTTATGACTGATTTAGTTGTGTCCCACTCAGACGCAATAATGAGTCCGTTTGAGAGTTCAGGAATCTGCCCTGTCATCTGGACAAAGACGGGAATGGGGTCAGGCCTGTCCCACTCAGAATTTGTCCGACCTCTGGGATACACCCCCGTACCCCTGTCTCCCCCCGTCCCGCCGTTGTCCCCCAGTCATCCCCTCCCCCAGTTTCCCCAGTTAGACAGAAGAGCTGTGTGCATAAGGCAGGAGTTGGAATGTTAATAACTTCAAATGCTTACAAATGCTAGTAGTTTGGACAACATGCTTACTTTAAGATAATGTGTTAGAGTCATAACCATTGTAGACTGCTTTTCTCCTGCATTAGCTGAATGTTCTCAGTGTTTTGTTGAATACTTTAGTTGTTATTGCATCTACCAGGGGCAGCCGGAGTTATTGTTTTTTCCAAACCTGCTAGAATGATCATAATAGCTTCTCTGGTTTCACCGACATAACTCAGCGTGTGTCGGTTATTGTTGGAAGAAAGGCGCTGTGACGTTCCGTCTACGAGCAGAGACTAATCTGTCACCAGCCTTCTGGTTGGATGGACTTAAGATTTTCATGTCTGTGCATGTGGTTGGATTGAAACACAAAAGCAGGAATATGAAGACGCATACACTGCTCTTTGCAGAAGTATTCAGAACTTTTTCATAGTTTCCAATGCTATAATCACAGATGTCGACGTTTGGGTGTGATGTTAAAGGATGTGGGATTCTCAAATGTTAGGTTCAGAGGTCAAAATTTTATCTTTTCATGCTTAGGAAAACAGTATGCATTGTACAAACACCTCGAGTACTTAATAATAGAGCTGATAAACCTTTATAGATGAAAAACTGACCCATTATCTGAGCGCAGCTTTGTAACATTGAATAATCAAAGTTAGACTTCCAGATACTCAGAGAGGGTATATTGACACTCCAACTCCAAACTCCAATCACCTCTATTAGTCATAATATGTCTTCTGCATTTAATCCGCTCTTTTGAGCAGTAAACAGCTTGCAGCACCCGGAGCAGTGAAGGGTTAAGACATTATACATAAAACATTCTTTAATCTTGAGTACCTAGTTTCAGGATATTTAGAATTTCAAGAGATCAGTAGTAATTTGCCCAGCCTTAATGGGATCATGTCCTCCTTAGTAAAGCTCTTAAAGGACAAATCAAATATTTTTTTCTAATTAGCCGTATCCATAGATGTCTTATAGTGCTATCTAAAAATCCCTGGCATTATTTTAACTGTCTTTTACATTTGTTGCAATCCTGCAAACCCTCTGTTTGGTGCCCCCCTCATGTTAAATGGGTGTACTGCAACTGACTTTGAATTGGCATTGATGTTGCCTCTACATTTATTGGAATGTCACCAAGAACAGATACAGAAAGTATAACTATATAACCTTTCTTTGAAAAAAGAGAAGAGAAAAAAAAAAAAGAAAAACTCTTGTGACTCAAAAGTCACGCTTTAAGGATGGCAGATCCAAAACAGTTTTATGATTGTATTCCTCCTGGCCCAACAATCATGTTTAGAGCGATGGTTATTTAGTTCCATCTAGGCTTTCTCTGCTCTAACACAGTGTTAAGTCGGCTTTATCAAACAGGAATGCTCCTACAATACTCACACTTTAACACGCCTAACTTTAACATTCATCTCTAAAGAACTATCTGAGAAAAACAACAGGCCCATATCAGCTTGCTTCCTTTCTGTGATAACATGCTCTGGTTGATTATCCGGATCAGAACATGTTCTCCTTGCAGTTCCTGTTATACAGAACAAAAAGCTGCTTTCCTCCTATATACACTAATTTCTTTGTATCTGGTTCCTACGTCCAGATTATTTTCTGCTGTTCTGCAGTCGTCTCTCTCTCTCGTATATCTTCGGTTTAGCTGGTACCCGAACAAAGACAGACTGACAAAACATGTCTGTTAACTCCCTCAGGATGTTAAGATATGGAGACACTTCAATCACACTTAGATTGTTGGGAATCGGTTTTATCTAATACACAAACAACCAAAATCTACTACTATGTTTTTCAGTATTTTTATGTCTGATTTAGTAGTTTTTATACATTTTTTTTTACCAGTGGGTATATTTTAATTGACTTGTTGTTTGATCAAGATCTGGATCTTTTGAGACTTTGAGAAAGATTGTGTTAGAACACCACCGAGTATCCTGTAACTTCGGCTATGTTCACACTGCAGGCCTTTATGCTCATTTGCGATTTTTTTTTCTTTAATTCCAATTGCTTTGCGCAATGCGTGTCCTGCATGTGCAGTGGAGGAAGCTAAAGTAGTGAGTGTACCGTTTCTACTAAAGTAAACATGGATGGTAGTGCTGGAGCGCATCTAGTGATCTTTGTTTTCCAACTGGAGCCAGCGCATTAACAAAGCGTTCTTTTCGAGAATGTCAAAAAGAAAGACACTATCATTCACCATTGTTGTTTTTCTCCCTGATTCTGCATTGCAAGACGCAGAATAGTGACCTTTGTGGAGTATTAATGGCGTACAGGTCAGATGACTGCAACTTGGCTGTTTCAACGCAAGTTGCATTTAAAAATATCACAGGTATCCGATTAAGGTCCACATATCCAAGTGACCTGGGTCGCATTTGAAAAGATCAGATCTGTGTTGTTCAGACTGCCATGAAAAGATCAGATACAGGACAAATATGGGGGGAAAAGACATCAGATTTGGGTCACTTTAGGCTGCAGTGTGAACATAGCCTTTGATACTCATTAAAAACTAAAAATAAATCTGTTTTATATTTTAACTTGAGCACACCGCCTGTACTGTAAAGAATCATAGAATTAGCATCACGCTTAGATTATAACCTAAACTAATATCTGTCTCTGCTACACCCGGGTAGTTCCAGAAATTTTTAAACTCGTGGAAGTTGAAACATAGATACCAAACTTTTTAGATTTGTATTTATTAAAATCTGTTAGGAAAAAAATAACATATTTTCTTCCTCTTTTAAACACTCTGCCGCTTTGTGTTTGTCTTTACATAAACTGCTGCACTTTTCAATGTGTACTCATGTAGCTATAAGTGTTTTTATTGCTCATTGGAAGAAAAAAAAGAGAAATCAAGGATAAGACTGGATGTAAAACATCTGCCCTTGAGTGTTTAAACTCCAGTGTCTTCGTTCTGTGAGAGCAGCAGAGAGGAAATGCCTCTGAGATGCCCAGGATTTCCTTTACATTAGTGCAGCCTTGGCTGGTTGAAACATCAAAGGCAGGGGGGGGAGTGCACTCATCAAACAGAGCAATTTTCCACTCTGTTATTCTACCACTCCTGTCGATGTGCTCTGCCTGCACATATAGTTATGAACTGCAAAAATACCCGACTCTGTGGCTTTATACAGTTATCACATAAATAAACTGAGCCCTTTAACCTGACTTCTTGAGGGAATTTTTCCAAATTCATCTATGGGTTATACTGAAGGTTAGATTTTATGTGCAATGCATGTTGTAGCCTTGAAGCTACCCATGTTTGAGAGAAGATTTCAAGTTCAAATAAAAAAAAAGTGTGTTACTATTTAACTTTTTTAAATTGTTAAGTTAATTTTAGCATTTGGTAGTAAAACTTTGTGTCCACTTTCCGTTGTTTTTCCTACATGAGCCACAGGAAAGAAGCCGGAGTAGAGGAAGTCCATTTTTATCAGTTTGTGAAGCGGGTAGTTCCACTGGACATTAGGCAGGAAGTAATTTTTTTTTCAGCTACTTTAGATTTAGGCTGATCAAATTTAGACCAGCTCTAGGTGACTGATTTGACTTCTAAAATACAGTCAATATATAATTCAAACAAGAATAATCCTTTATATGTTTTTGTTGGTTGTACCATTTGGACTCTGCAAGGAATATAATGATTTCAAATCATTCTTACGTATTGAATTTAACCTTTGTTAAAAAATGCCGTCCCTAGATAAAACATTTTCTCACACCCTTGGAAAATTCTGATTTATTTAATTTAATATTTAAACAAAGTATTAATGTTTACTTAAATTAATAGTTATATCCAAACATATTTTTAAAGAATGGTTATTTATTCAATCTATTTTTCAAAGACGGAACATCTAGTCTTCACTTACTATATTGTTCTGATTATTAAAATCTTTAAAAATGTATATTTCCTGTTTTATTCCAATTTCTATTCTTTTAGCATGACATATGCATTGTTATTATTTAGAGATTTTTTTTTTAAGTTGAGTACTAAATGAGATCTGGTATTAATATGAATACATTTTAAATATTATTATGTATCTTACAATATCAATCATATGATTTACTGGGTATGATTGTTTAACCATAATACAGGTCCAGTTGGAACAGAGACAGTGCAAGCATCCTGTAAACTCCTGCCTTTTCTGTCTATGGTCTGTGCTCCATTACCTTTTGGCATGAAAACCATGTGAATCATAATGTGTTTGTTTTTCTACAAATGTGATCTCAATTAGGTATTCGCTGTGATGCTTATAACAGATAATACTTCATTTCCAGCATCCCTCCTGTATTCTGCTTTTGATATTATTTTGTTTATAAAAAGGACATTGCAGTAAAATGTTTGAAACTATACATTAAACAAAAAGGTTTAATTTATAAATGATTCAAACCAACTTAGTTCTATAGTTGAGGGAAAAGATGAGTGACTGTACTTAGGCATTGCAGCCTGATATCCCCCTAATGAACAGTTAACACTGTTTAAAACAGGAAAATAAGGAGATAAAACCAAAATGATGATCACAATATGGAGGGCGATATGTTGAGGGGAGTGTTGGCCCAGTGATTAGAACAGTGCGCTTGTGCTCTTAGAAGGGTTCAAGTACCTGGTTCGATCCCCACACACGGGGTCCCTGAGCAAGACCCTTAACCCCTCACTGCTCGCCGGGCGCTGCACAATGGCAGCCCACTTCTCCCCAAGGGGATGAGTATATGATATATATATATATATATATATATATATATATATATATATATATATATATAGATATATATATATATATATATACACACTAAAAAAACACTGACCAAAAAAAAAGCCTTATCTGTGGTTCTTAGCATATTTAGGGTGTTATATATATACGTTATTCTGCAAGCATCTATTATAATTTTTATCTATACAAACAATTACAAATGGATAATTATTAAAATAATTTTATGATTATGTAGGTTTAATGTTGTAAAGATTATTATGTTCATTTTGGCGTTTTATGAAAAAAACATAAAAACGTATGTGTAAAGTAAAAAAGTGGCAAAGGGTTAAATGTAATTCCTTTTACTAATTCATTGATAATAGATTAATGTGTGATTTTTCTGTTATGCTGATATTAGCATATATTAGCAAGCTATTGGTAAGGATTTTTTATGTCAAATATTGACTTTTATTAAGCTTAACAAAATGCATCAAAGCAGCAGCAATAAAAAAAATGCAAATCAAATGCAAATCAAACAAAACATTAAGAAAGCATACAGATAGCGGATGCAGCAATGTATATGCTTATTAGCTAATCGAATAAAATACAATTTTTTTAATTTTGGCTCAAAATATATCTGTCTATCTCTAGTCATTAGGAAGAAATGTTAAAACTGGGACATTTTACGGTTCATATTTCTACATATCTACTCATATTTAAACAATAAATAATGGAACAGCAGGAATGTATCTCTATTCACTGTTTTTAGCATTTCCAAAGTAGGCAACATTAAAAAAGGTGAAAGTCGTAAAAAATAGAGTTATTTCGGCTTAGCCATCCTCTTTCCTCCTCCTTTTAAAACTCTTCTGTTCCTTCCTTGTTTTTTGCTTCACCTTTTTAACAATCTTTTTTTTCCCCCTGACCCACCATATTTCTTCTCTTTTCAACCCATCTGTCACTCTTCCTTCTTTTCCTAATCTCTCCTCAGTCACTTTTTTCAATGTTCTAAAACAGAGCTCTAATATAAAAACAAATCATTTTAAAACATATTGGAGCTTTGGCCTATACCATACTGAAAATATTCACTACCAAGTAAAATACCCTTTTTGTTTCACATACCCTAAGTTGTTTTTTTCATCGAGAACTTGGCGTCAACCTGGTATAATATTATTATAGGTCACTAAGCCGACCTAATGCCAAAATGATATATTTAGCACAAAACTGTAAAAATATTTTCAGTTTTCAAGCTCGTAGAGTAGATAAAATGGAAAATTAAACAGGTGATTCTTTTTCTTGTAACTTTTCTCTGTCTGTGGGTTATTGGCTCTTTTTTTTAACCTTGTCTCTGACTCTTTTATTTTTTTTTTCATAAGTAGCCTTTTTTTTGTCCAAAAAAATGTCAAATATGCACAATAATGCACATTTGATGTTAAAACCATGGTTTATGTAATGTTTACTAAAAAAGATGCACAGTGCAAGGGAAAAGCAGCAAGGCAAAACATCTTCAGAAATACTTGTTTTATTTTCTAAACATAGGATGCTAACTTTGTCACAATATGCTCAATTGGCAGAAATTCAGTGTTCGAACAGAAGAAATTACATATATTTTGTTCCTTAATGGAGTAATTCAGGTGTTCATTATGTGAACGGGGGGATTTACCATTAGGCAATACTTTGGCAGTTTCTGTGGGCCCCATAAAACTCTGTTTACATGTATGGTTAATACAACTATTCCTAATTTGTGCACATTAATTATGTTTATAAAAATCCTGTCGTTAAAATGCCATCAGAATGCTTATAATATTAAGTGTGTCTCAGCACCCCCCCTCTGTGTCCCCCACATTGAATCAGTCCATTTGCTGCACATGTTCAGAAAGGTCCAAACAGACAGTCGCATCCATTTGAAAACAAATAGTGCGAAGCACAGTGTTGCCAATTTAGCACTTTTGTCACTATATTTAGTGACTTTTCAGACCCGTCTAGCACATTTATTTAAAAAAAAACTCCTAGCGCCACATTTAGTGACTTTTTTCTGCTACTGGAGACTTTGGCGACAGCATATAAAAGCTCAGAATTCTGCTCTCCAGAGCAAGAAGATTAGTAACCCCGCCTCCTGCTCTCCTCTATCTTGTCTGCTGTCATGATTCATGCAGCTATTATTTCATCCAAATGAAAAATGGAGAACAGATAAGCAGATCATGGCTTGTCTACCGTGAAAAGAAGGACTAGGGTATTTACTTTTGGAAACTCAAGATGGAGCAATCAGCTAAGTGAGCTCAGGGCTTGGAAAAAAATCTTTCTTTCCTTTTGAGACAGCATGAAAAGTCAGCTGAGTACAAAACATAGAGAGGAAAGCAACAAGAAAAGGGACAAGAAAAGAGGGACAAACTGTAGAACAAATAATTTATGTCTATTCTATTAGAATTTCTGTATCTGTATAATTGGTCTGTTTTATGTGTTGTCTTATCAATTGAGAGGGCCCCTGCTTGTCTTTGCCTAGGGCCCCAAATTTCCTAAATCCGTCCCTGTATGAAACCATACAAAACAGTATAGCAAAATTAAGGAAGGCTTTACAGACTGTATAGTATGGGCAAAAAAAAAATAAAAATCTGTAGAGCTACTGAAAATAAAAATTGTAAGTTAACTATCCGTTATGCTGATCTTTTAAAACTCAGCTGCCTGATAACTAATGCGGATAGTTTTTCTCCCTGTTTTGTCCCTCCTGTCCTGTGCAGTCTGTGCAAATAGAGGTCCTGGTATTTGTTTCTGAAACTCTAAAAAAACATCGAAGCCACCAACATTTTCACTTCAGCATCTCTTCTGCAACAGACTCATGCATCAGCTTGGTGCATGTAACCTGCTGGCGTAATTCTTATCTGTTTCTCACAAACACGCTGCCTTATATATCAGTGATTTGAGTTGTTGAGTGATGTGGGATATTTTTTATTAAAGCTAATATAAGCCGATACTGATAGCATGTTGATACTATCATGCATCCTTTAAAAAACAGCATATTTGCATAGAAATATAAAACAAGTGAGGTAAGTTTAAAAAATATTATTTTGTGCTTATAATATGGAAAAGTTTATTTTCTTTATCACTGTTTTTGTACAATTTGTAACAAGACAGGCCAGTCATCGAATTTTCAAGATTTAAGACCTGATCAGTTTGTCTTATAAGAGCATCAACATTAGGCAGATGTAGCAGAACAAAGGGCTATGACTCATAGAGAGTCAATATAATCCACCTTATTTTTCATGAACCACACAGCCTGTCGCCGAGGATAATGTGTGGAGGTTTTTATGAAAACAATCCTTTAAAGGTCAAACAGGAGTAGGTATGCAGCAGCTCATCACTTTTCCCTTTCTTCTCTTTAAGCCTTGACATTTGTGTAAAGAAAGACAAATGCTTTGCAGTTTAAAAACATAAAAAAATAAAAGAAATTCAAAGAAAATCCTGAACCAGAATAAAGACACGAAACAGGCCTGAAGCATCCAATAAGTCTTAATAGCTGAGTATTGTGACATGTTTGATAATTGGTTCTCTAAGTCTGGCTTGTGAAGAATACGTGTTTGTTACTTAACCTTATCCTTTGATAATTTGTCATATTATTTTAAGTTGCTCTGAAAGCTGCAGTCCTTTAACACCCATCCATATATCTGGCTTAAGTTTTGATGAATTGTTATATATAAATGTATTTTCTCAGCAGGGACTCTAGTAATAAATCTTTAAGCTTCTAAAAACAAGAAGCTTGCATAGCTGGAAAAGAAAACAGTGAGCCAATTGAAGACGTAATGAGATTTTGCTGTGTGTTTATCTTAGTAAACGTGCACCTGAAGCAGAGCACTGAAGTTCAGAACCAGTTCAGCCAGCGTGCTTCAGACCCGTCACTCTCCATGATCAATGGCAATGATCAGACCTTTGCACAGCACACTCAGGTTGTACATTTTCCTTTTTTAAATGATTCTGTTTTACTCATAATTTTTTCCACTTGCAACTCAGTGTTTAATTTTTTTTTTTTGACACCAGGCTTGTGAAGAGGACATTAAGTTCAGAGTAGATGATGTGACAAGTGACAGCACCAACACTGATGGCAGTTTATGGGACCCTGAGGATCTTCTCCTTGCAACTGACACCCCTCCACCCCATTCTCACTTAAGAGAGCTCCCTGCCTCTCTGCCTAGCTCCCTCTCTCTCTCACCAGTTGATCAGGCCCTCACCAGGCTGATCCGTCGGCCCTCCACTGAGCCGAACAGTCACAGAGACAGTCCAACAATGGAAACCTGCGACATCAGGTGTTAGATCTTCCCTCACTGTAGTCTCTACATGTCTGTGTTCCTATATGGAGCTGGTTGACAAGTTCCTTTTGTATCTCTGCTTATTTCTGTATGTCTACTTTTGTTTCCTTGAACCCCAGTCGGCCGCTCACACTAAGCCAGGTTCTGCTGGAGGTTTCTTTCTGTTAAAAGGGAGTTTTTCCTCTCCACTGTCGCTACAAGCATGCTTGGTGTTAGGGATTGCCTTCGAGGCAAAGATATGATGCAATCACCTGGTTTTCCTTAGATAGAAAACTTTAAATCAATTTGACTGTATGATCTGGTTGACTTGTACCTGTAAAGTGCCTTGACATGTGTTGTGAATTGGCGCTATATAAATAAACTGAATGGAATTGAATTATATGCATGAACGACTCATAATTTTTTTTTATGTTTTTTCTTCTCCCAGTCTGGTGGCCCTGGAAGTGGACAGTGAGGAAGAACCTCCTGAGCCTAAGTCTCTGCTTTCCCGCCTATTTTCAGACGTTGGCAAAAGCGAAGAAAAGAAAGAAACCCGGCGTCCCAATCCTGATCTCACCTGCACTCGTAGCCAGTCGGCTTCAGCATGCGAACCCAACTCCAAAGTAAGATTACATTCAGAGATGTTTTATCACGCCTGACGATGGGATTGTTGTTTTGTTTTTTTATCTCAAGATTTTTTATTTATTTTTTCACAGGACTTAAGCGAGGAAGGTGTTCGACTGCGCTCCTATTCCTACTCGCACTCCAAGTTCTGTCCTAGTCGCAGCAACCGGGACAACCACACATCGGAAGGTAGCCCTGGTCGGTAAAACGCAGTCCACATAAAATCCAAAGAATTTGAATCTAACACATAACTAATAATTTCTTTCTCATAATTTTCCTATTTTCGTACACTAATGGAATAACCTTACATGTTCTGTTAGTTTAGTCTAATTTAAAGTATAGTCATGTTCAAGTGTCAGTTCCTCACATTGAGATTAAACTTTTAAAATAAAAGCAGAATCACTTCTGTTAACACACCTTTACAGTGTGCATGTTACATTTTTCCATGTGATACAAACACAGCTGCTTGATGTCTAACTGAGTAGCTCCTTGCTTGAACTTGACTACACTGCACACACTGTAGGTTTTGCACCTTCTTCTTGTAGTTGATGTGTTAGCAGCGCTCTGTCCACTGTGCCCTGTAGATGGCGTTCTCCACAGTGTCAGCCACAGCCGATCTCTTCTTCAGGCGCTCTCTCTGTCTAAATCCACCCTGTCTCTGTCTCTGCTACACCCGGGTAGTAAGTACTGGACGCCTGCAGTCACCGCACCACACCCAGCCCTCACTGACAGCACTTGTACATGTTTGTGGTTGTGTAAATGTGTGTTAGCGATAGAGACAAACATTGTGCAAAGTGAAGCTGTCATAATTACATTCCTGCTTTCCACAGCACTTTCCACATCCATTAGGATAGGCTTTTTATTAATAAATACTTCGACTTAGATTAAAGACTAGAAGTTGCTAAGGCATAAATTGTTTATTCTTTGCAAAATTTGTCTTTTTTTAATTTTAGATTCTTTGCTAATTTTCTTTGTTTTTATTTCAATCAGTGACTAACAACTAATTTTCTGCTGTTTTTTTCCACAGAGCAGAGAACCTCCAGCATATCTGAGCCGTCCCATGACAAAAGGTGTTTATCATATATCATTAGATACTGAAATCCTATTTCTTCTGTAGTTTTTTTTTTTTTTTTACACAATAATCTAAAATCTAATTCTTTGTATATTTGGAACTTAAATGTATTTTATTTGGATTTAATGTAAAGGACGACAGAGAAAAGGATGACTGTCAAGTTGAAGGAAAATTATTCAGTTTGAAGAAGCTTTTCTTACAAATCTAAGAGATTAAATGGAAAGCATAATTTCTTTTAATCTTTAAATGTACTTTTTGGTAGCTGGCTGTACGTTTGGGGCGATTGCTCTGATGGAAGTTGAACCTCCACCTCAGGACTGATAAAGCGTCATGTTTTCTTCCTTTCTGAAAAAAATATGAACTTCCCCACAGGATGATGCCCCCATCAACGGGCTTAACGGAGAGGATGGTTGCTATAGGATTATGTGCAGCGTTAATTTTCCACCATGTCAAAAATTCAGTTTTAATCTTGTCTGACCAAAACATTCACTTCCTCTTGTTTCCAGTGTACTAGTACTGAACTGTAAACATCTTTTCCTGTGGCTACAAATCTTTTTGCAAGGCACAATCATTGAAAATGAACCAGAAAATCTAATGTATAATCTTTAAAGTCTGCTACAGTTTTTGTTGAGGCTATTTAATTTTTCTTGTAATTTTAGCTCAATAGATGTAAAAAAATATGCTTACTTTTTGCCCCCAGCTGAAATGAAAACTATTACTTGAATACTTTCTATTTGCTTTATCCTTTCATTTCAGTTCTATAATACTTAAAATCAAACCTCATGTATATCCATCTACTTGTTCTTAAGGCAGATACCAGACTGGCTTTAAAAGATAATATTGTGACTCCAGATCTGGATCTCTAATTCTGCTCTTAATTGTTTTTGTTTTGTTTTTTAGCAGTCAGACTTCCAGTTAAGGTTGTCTACAGTCTAAGATCATGCCCTTTATTTCTATGGCTTCTCATGAGCAGTTATAAAAGCTTCATTGTGTGTTTCCACATGTTTTGCAGAGAGGTTAGGTTCCGTAAACGGGCCCAGTCTGCTGATGATGAGGGCAGCGTTGAGCTGGCAGAGTCCCTGCACCATCTCACCCTGTCTGAGTTTCTCAAAGAGTATGTGTAGAGGATTTACCCTGTCGCCCTCTCCGTGTCTGTCCCACAACAACAAAAAAACCTAACCCCAAACAAGGCATTGTTTGCATCCGCCCAATATGGCCTCAAACAGTAATAGATCAGTTTGAAAACACCTCCTGTCTGTAATATGCACAAGAAGTCTTTCTGTTTGTCTCTAGCCTTTAACCCTTCGACTAATGCCTTCTTGCTTTCACATCACAGCAATGCAGAGAAGTGTCACCATTTTCTTACATTATACTTACTAACAGAAGGATACTTGTGAAGCTTAATGTTGTTGCTTTGACTTCGGCTGTTTCTCTTGGAATGCTCTACTCCAAAAATTTTCCAATTTTTTTTGGGGAAGAACCTTTGCAGCTTGAGCTAACCTGATACATTTCATATGCTTAGGAATTTATCCCAACACCCTCCTGTTTTGCCTGATCTTTATTGTTTCCTTTACTTTCCAGGTGATAAAAACTAAATATCTGAAAGTTTTAAGTCTACATTTTTAAAAATCCTGCACATAGGGGGTTAGAAATCTCAGGAATTTTATCGTTTTTTTGTTGTTGTTTTTTGTCCTTGCAGGATTGAAGAAGAGGAGTTGGAAAAGTGCAATATTCCAAACAAGGCAGAATCCGAGAAGTATAAAGTCATTCGTACCTTCAGCTTCCTTAAGAACAGGATGTCCAGCACACGTAACAAGAGCAAGGTCAACAAGGTAATGATCATATTTAGAGGGATAGATAGGTTGTATTGACTGCATTGGCTCCCTGTATATCTGGGTAATGTGAACTGAAAGCAGCTGAATCATTGGCCATTAAGATTAAGGATGTTGAAAACCAAAGTTATGATGCAGTGGAGCATTTATTTTCTGAAAGTTCTCTCTGCATCTAATTAGCTAAAAACTGACAGCAATCATTGTATAGTTAGCTTTGCATTTAGCAAAATTCACAGGAAAAAGTTAACAGAAGATGATTTTTACTGAAGTCTGTCATTGCATTTGTGTGTGCAATGACAGACTTCAGATCGCACATGATTAAGGCAGCAGAAACAGCTGGTTTACATGTAAAGTCTATGGTTGAGGCGCATCAAGGTGCGTCAAAAGGTCCTGCGGTGCATTTCGAGCAGGAGGAGCAGTGCATCTGAGCAGCTGAAGCAGCTCCTCATGAGCTTCTGAGCATCTGACGTGTGGGACGCGCTGCACAAGCAGCAGCTGCTCGAGTTGGAAAACTTTAACTTTTGCTGCTAAGTACAATGCAGTTTGCAAAACGGACATGAAAAACATATTTCAGTCGCCGCAAACAGTAGTAGAAAACCCAGAAGAGGCGACTGGGCCAGAGGCTGCTGTTAGAAGGGGATTTCCAGTTACAAAGCACGGGCGGTGTACGGGGATCTGAGTGGTTCCAAGTCTGACAGCGAAATAATATTTGAAGGCAGGTTCGTAATCTTGATGAACTGACTGCACAGTTCAAGTTTTCAGGTGGACTTTCTCACTTAAAAACATAATGAAACTACTTTTTACCCACTTATCACAGCAGATATAGCAAAGCCAACCCCTGTTATCGAACGCAGAAGCAGCAGAAGCATTAGAAGCATCTGGACACATTTTACTGGATTTGCTTCAGGAGCCTCAAAGATACACTTGAGGTGCATCTGACCTTATTGTGTACAAGCATCAAAAATTTATCTGTAGAAGCTTTTTTGTTGCTTCCAGTGCCTGCAGTCTGAACTGAGCATAAGTGATTAAGTGTTCTGGGCGTGATTTCAGCTTTGACTGACACGGCAGCTGCATTGACACTTGCAGTGACAGCGACACAAACATGGGTATTGATATCAGTGCTGCTAGTGGTGCAACGAAAAGGTGGAATGAGGTGCAGGATTTCTCTCCACCGTCTTCACCAGAGAAAGAAAATTTGGGGCTGTGCTGTTCTAGAGAGGTGCAGCCAGGTGTTCTCTAGCTAACTTTGTGCGTTGTAAGTGAATGGTTATAGGTAGATCAGAATTATTCATAAAAGCTATGGTCTCTATCTGTAAGGCTTTTATAACCCACAGCGGCAGAGTTAGTGTTTCTGGGGGACCTTATAATACTTTTAGAACCAATACCAAAACTAATTGAAAATAAAAATATTAAACATGAGGAGGGCACCACATTAGCATCAAATGGGAAGAGAATTTTTGTGAAATAATGCCCAGGACTTGTAGAGGTGATGTATACAGTTAATTGGCAAAACAAGTTGATTTGTGGATAAGACATCCTTTAACTTCAACAAAGTTTCAATTTAAGACTTGATATCTGTAAAATTCTAATCATAAAGTTTAAAACAATTCCTTACAAATCTCTCGAATTACTGACACTGCCCAAAAGCCCTGCATTCTCAAAAAAACAAACCAAAATGATGTTCTATTTAGTGTTAGTTTTGTTTTCTAGTTTTTAAGCTGCTGGGATTCTTACTCCAGTCACCGGTATGAACTATGAACTTCTCTATTTGCTCTCGGGAAGACACAACCAGGAAACAGTTCTGGGAATAACTGAAGGTCAGAGCGACAGACCAAACATGGTGTCCAGCCTCTTTCCTATCAATGATTAATCCATGTTGTTGAGTCAGCACAGAGACTGGAAACAGTTATTTACACTTTCCTCCATTTTGGACTTTCTTATGCCTCGGAAAGAGGCGGGGATTGGATCCATGCTTCTTTTGTCTTCAGACAAGAGGAATATTTAACTTACCAAACCAAAACAAGACACCAAATCTTTCATTTAAAACCTGCTGAGATATTATAGGGATACCTGTATGGTTCCACTGTTGATACTTACGTATGTCTATGGCATTGTTTTCAAAGGGAAAAGGGAAGGACAGAGAAGCCAAGGATAGACAACTAAATGGGCATCGGTTTGGAGCGGGCCCATGTTTAGGGCCCACAGTGTGTGTGGTTTGTGACAAACCAGCTTCTGGAAAGGATCTTCTGCACTGCTCAGGTGGGTGAAAGGTCAATTCAGACACAGGATTTATCCAGCAGAAATCATCAAATATATGGTCTTTCCTCAGGTTGCACTGCTATCGTCCACAAGAGCTGTAAGGAATCTGTCCCACCATGCTTGAAGGTTAGTCCGCTCTTGATTGTTTGGCTCTTTCTCTATTGAAAAAAATCCATCTGATTAGATCTTTAATCCAATTTACATTCTTAGAAACTTCAGGATAGGCATGCCACGACTGGAATAAAAAGCAAGACAGCCTCCCTGCCACAGAGTGAGCTTTATTAAAACTTAATTAAAGCAGACAATTTATTTCTTCATTTTGTTGTGATATAACCACACGCTGCTGTCTGTTTTTCCCTCAGACTTCATAGTGAGAGAGAGCCCCCCCCATTCTGTGATCCCCATTTCTGTTTCCCAACCTGTCCTTACCCCGAAGGAGAGGAAAGACACTGTAACCCATTCAGGCTCTCTGCCTGGAAGTTTACCAAACAGTGACAGGTCAGTGAGCAATCAGACTTTAAAATGAATTATTGTGATGATAATAGCTATAATACATTACTGTGTTCTTCTTCCTGTACAGTCTGCTCAGCGAGAGTTCAGAGACAGAATCTGAAGCCCTAAAGCCAAACAGCCTTTCAGAGGAGCTCCTGCCAACTCCAGGCTCCTCTGCCTCCAATGAGTCATCCTTCGGAGAAGGTAAAGGAGATCAGTAAGGCTTGTTGTTGAAAAAGCCTTAAAAGCAAATCAAGAATTAGAGTTGCATCATTTCAGGTTGGCACATACCCAACCTCCGGCTTTTGTTAACCACTACATGTATTAGTGGTTTCAGATTTCTTAGGGAAAAAAAAAAATACACTAGTTGAGATATTTTGTTCTTTCTTCCTTTCTATCTGAAGCTGTCAACAACAGCATCTATTAGGAGCAGAAGCAATGTTTGAATGCTGGCAAAATTTGAAAAGATTTTAAACAAGAACTGATTGACATTCTAATCCACCTTAGCATCTCGAATTAGCAGTAAACATTAGCATGGGTAATTGTAGTAAAAGATTTCTGTGATTAAATTGTATAGAGATATTAACACATTCCCTGACTAAAATCAGCAAAAAGCCACTTTGAATGAAGAAACAGCTGAAAATAGTTAGTTAGAAAAAAGAAAATAGTCAGACGAGATTAAAACTGCTTAAGAAATTGTTCCATAATAGATTGTTTTTTTTGCAAGCATAGTCTGTTACTGTTCAGCGTTGGTTTGTGCAATCACAGAAAACTTACTGCTTATTTATTTCAGTACCTGTTTTAAGAAACAGTTCATTTTTAAAAGGCCTCTTAGTGTGAGCATGTGACAAAGTAAAAAGTTCAACATTGTTTCCCTTACTGTGGAAAATGATGACAAATGAAAGCCAATTGATCACAAAAACAAATATAGGTGGGAAAAAAATCAATTCAGGCATTGAAAAAGTAATGCATACTTTAATTATATTGTATATTTATTTTCCCTTTGATATTATTAAAGTATTTTTGAATTGTATGGGGAAAAAAAGCTAAGAAGGCTTGAAAACTAAATCAACACAAAAAATGTATGATTGGATCAAAAAAAATTGTTGACTCTTTAAAATTCTTTTTAATATTTCTTTTTCTGTCAGTTGTGGTGTTTCTCTTAAGGTTCACTTCTGGTTCATCTCTTTTTTTATTTCTTCTTATCCTTTTCTGAACTTGAGGATAAATTTTGTTTTTTTTTCACTCATTTATTGATAAAGTCAAAAATCTGTTAAACTCTGAGTCTTTTTATGTATAAAATCTTAAGAGAGCTTAAACTTTAATCAATTCAAATCCTTAGAAAAATGAAATTATGTTATTTGAAATTTAAAAAAAGTGTTGACTACCAACACTCTTGCCTTTCAGTTCAGTTCGACATTGCTATTAAACTGAAGTCAGCAATATTCACTAGTTGCTACGCTGGCCTTCCCTTAAACTTTGTCAAGGTTTTGTGTAAGTTAAAGAAATTGATATTATCTGTGTCTGTAAATGCAGCTTTTTTCTGATAGGAAAGAACAGACAGGAAAATTGAAAACTCTGTATTAAGGAGATTGTGAAAACTGATAATTTTAAAGTTGATTAAAAGTCCTTTTTTACTTTTCCCTCTCTCCAGACTGTGTGGACTCATATATTCACACATACAGTGACATATTAGCTGATTCTGCTGATTATGAAGCTGAGTCATGGAGTCTGACGGTAGAACACAAGTTCTGCAAGAGGCAAGACAAACGAGCTGTCAAGAGGCAGGATGTAATCTATGGTAAGCCAATGATAGGAATGTTTGTTTTCACATTTGTTGCAATAATACCATGTTTTAAAAACGCTGAAATTGAGAAACATCTTTGAATTTGTGTTTTTCTTGACACCTACAGTTTGTTGCGAAAGTCCTCATTCCATTTGAGTTGTATTATGTGTTATTTTTACAAAGCAATCATTTTGATTTTTTTTTTGTGATTTTATATAGCAGACCTAATGTGCAAAATTGTGAAGTAGGAGTAAAAGGGAGAGAAAGGAAAATATATATATATAAATGGCCTGCATCTGTGTTCACCCTCCTGCAATCCAATCTCCCCAAATAAAATGAGAAAATAATCCATACACTTGACATTTATGGGAGTTGGGTAAAATTAAATCCATTGTTAAACAAAATAAACAAATGCTGTTTGTGGTTTGACATATATCATATATGTAAATTCCGAGGCCAGAAAACCTTTTCCACATCCACTAGAACAAAGGCTCCACATTGTGGAGCACGTTGGTGGCAGCATCATGGTGAGGAATTCTTCTCCCTGCAGGGTGAGATAACCTAGTTAAAACTGATGTGAAGATCGATGAAGCTAAATGCTAAATCTTCTGGAAAAAAACTAAGTTTTGAATGCTGCAGAATCTGATATAATGAATTTTGGATTAATGTTTGATTTGTTGGTTTTGAATGCAAATGCATTTCAATTAGGGCTAAAACAGCTAATTGGATTAACCACGATTAATCAGTTATTGAAATATTCATAAACTAATTTAGTAATGAATAAATCATTAACTGGAGTATAGAGACTCTAAAACATGCCTTTAGCTGACAGATCAACCCACTTAGAGCAGTACCTATATCAAAATTATAAAAAATATATAAACATTTTAGTATTTAACAGAATAAGAATTTTCGTCTGTCAAAATGCTCTATCCAGAACTCCTCAAGTGGAAAAGTTTAGTTTCAACTGGTCTAAATGCGTAAAAAGTCTTCTTTAAAAAATCTTTTGCTATACGATTATTAATTGATTAATCGAAAAAATAATCAACAGATTTATCAGTTTGCTAAAGAATCGTTAGTTGCAGCCCTAATTCTAGTTCTTGTTTAGATTTTTACTTTAAAGCGATGTTTGTATCGGGTTTAGTTTTTGTGTGTGCTAATCAAGAGTTGCATTGTTGACCCTTCAACACAGAGCTGATGCAGACTGAGCTCCACCACCTGCAGACGCTGCACATCATGGCTGAGGTTTTCCGGCGTGGTATGAAGGAAGAAGTACAGCTCGACACGGAATCTGTGGAGCGAGTGTTTCCCTGCCTGGACCAGCTGCTTGTTCTCCACCACGCTTTCTTCACTGCCATGAAGGAGCGGCGTCAGACCTCTGGGCAGCCCCAGGGTCATAGGAACTACCTGATACAGCAAATTGGAGACATCTTGCTTCATCAGGTTAGACTAAGTTTTTTGTACCAACTCTTAAACTTATCAAATTAGGAGATTCCGGTGTGATAATAAAACCTTTATGTAGTTTTCAGAAGAGAATGGAGAAAAAATGAAGCAGGTTTACGGAGAGTTCTGCAGTCATCACAATGAAGCAGTCAGTTTTTTCAAAGATCTCTTGCTTCATAACAAGAGATTTCAAAGTTTTGTTAAGGTATCATTGCCTCAATTCTCACTTAAAAACACTACCATTCAGAGGAGGGAAATAAAGTGTAACAATATCTACTTCCTTCCATAGCAACAAGGTCATAACTCTTTGGTGCGCCGGAGAGAGATCCCTGAGTGCATTTTACTGGTAACCCAAAGAATCACAAAGTACCCAGTCCTGCTGGAGAGGATACTACATTATACTCAAGGTTAGATATCTCCTGCCCTCTAATGATAAGTCAGGGTAACTGCAGTTAATATCATCATTCAGCAGGATTTAAATCTTCCCTTCTTGATCTTCCAGAGGAAACAGATGAGCATGGTAACATTTCCAAAGCTCTGGCGCACATCCGAGAAGTGATAGCAGCTGTAGACTCAAGAGTCAGCGAATATGAGCGCCACCAGAGATTGCAGGAAGTGTGTAACCGCATGGAGAACCGCAGCACCGCCAAGCTGAAGAGTGGACGCACGTTCCGTAAGCAGGACATGATGGGGCCGGGTCAAACCCTCAGATACCAGGGTGTGCTACTGTGGAAGACCGCCACTGGCCGACTTAAGGGTAAGAATATCCAACACAGGGTTAACATGTTTGTTTTATTCAGATAGAAAAAATCTTCCACTCAGGTAACAGTGAGTTCTGCTTCTGTTCACTGTTCCAGATGTCCTGGCACTGCTCCTCACCGACAGCCTCATCTTCCTTCAGGAAAAAGACCAGAAATATGCATTTGCTGCTGTGGTGAGCCTACATTTTACACAATAACCTATTTGGTAACATATTTTCTGTTAGTGCGGTCATTTATTTTTCTACTTTTTACCCACAGGACCAGAAGCCTCCTGTGATTGCACTGCAGAAATTAATAGTTCGGGAAGTTGCAAATGAAGAAAAAGGGATGTTTTTGATCAGTGCCTCTTCCGCCGGCCCGGAAATGTACGAGGTCCACACTTCATCCAAAGAGGAACGAAACACCTGGATGAGGCTTATTAGAGAGGCTGTAGAAAGGTTTGTTCATGTTCTTGCAAGGTATTTGTATGCCTTTGTCGTTTTCATATTGTGTCACGTTCCAACCATTCCAACCATTTAATAAAATACAATAACATTTATTGTATTTTATAAGGGTTTTCTGGAAATCAGAAAGGTAGTTTTTGTGTAACTGAGAGGTGGAAGAAAAGGGATATGTCATTTTGTAGTGAAAATTAATGAGGGTGGGTTGTATTCAGCTCCCTTTGAGTCAATGCTCTGTTAAACCAGCACAAAACATCTGGGATATGTTGCAATCACATTAAAATTCAGGAATTTTTTTCTACATCAGCGTTTTGCCAGATAGAGTTCAGCATGAAGGCAAAACATTTAGTTTAGTTTAGCCTCTTCACTGATTTTCTTTATTTTTATTATATATATATATATATATATATATATATAATATGTCTTCTATTTTGCATAATAATAATAGTTTTGATGCAAATAAGGCTCACAACTAAAATAAACGTGCTACTAGAGGTCTGAGGAGATTGTTTTTCAGATATTTAATATATTTCTACATTTATTGTGAGATTCAGTTCCAAACAAAAACAATAAATGTACTAAATAAAAATAATTATTAGTATAGTACAGTTATTGGTGCTGGATTTTATTTGGAGGCTTTCAACATAAATAGCCTTGACATAAATGGTTAAAAAGTAATACCCCAAATATTATATTGCACCTGTGTTACCATGTGTTGCTTTCTTAAAAACAAATCCATCCGTTCATTCTTTATAGCTGTTTTCTTTCAGAGAGGCAGCTAGTGCCTGTCTTCTGGGTTGTACAGGTGGCACTATGAACAGGTTCATCACAGGGAAGAAACACAAGACAGACAACAATGCACACACCCACATATACCTATAAAACTGTTAAAAGGAAGTCAGAGTACCTGGAGAGAACCTGCACATGCACTGGAAGAACATGAAAACACTGCAAAAATGATCTAGAAATAAATAGAAAATTAAGTGTTTTTACCCTTACTTTGAGTAGGTAAATTAACTGATTTCCCAATGAAGTGAGTATTTATAATCATAAAATAAGATAATTTGATAACATGCACTTAAAATAAGACAATGCAATAGTTTTTTTTTTTGTTATTTTAAATGTAAATGGCTTTATTCCATATGCAAAGTGTCCCACTTACCTCCTCAATTCAAAAAAGGTGGCATTCTTTAGGAAAAGTTACTTATTTAGATTTAAATTTTTGCATTGAAGTCATTGCAGAAAGCCCAAAGGTCAGTATTCAAAACCTGGACCTTCTTTCTGCAACTACTTGTGCCGCATTACAGTCCATAAAAAAATCCAAAGATTGAAATAGTAATGTATGGTTGTAACATGACAACATGTGAACATTGTTTAACACATCTATATATAGATACTTTTGCATAGTTCTGTATATGTAGTACATAGTTTCCAAGAAGCATGGATTTGGTATCGTTAGCTAAAAACATAAAGTCTTTTCTTCCTGTGGGGTTTTGCTGCTGTTGCTCAGCTGTCCAGAGGAGACTGAGGGATCTGCAAGCGAATCTGAAGAGGAGAAACGAGCTGCTGAGGTTCGTTTCCAGAAGATCCTCAAACTTCAAGGTAAAACCGTGCCAAGCAGATGTTCTGTATGTTCTTATAACTGAAGTTGCACACTTTCTAATTCCTGTCCGCAATGATCTATCAGAGAGTTTGACGAGTCAGGATCAGCAGATCTGCTCCAGCCTGGAGGAGAAGCTGCAAATCTACACGGAACTGTCTGCTCTGAGCGGGAGAATGGAGGCCGTTTCAGCAGAACCGCGTCTGCTGGTCCAGATGCAATCAGAGGAGCTGCCGCAGGCGGCTGGACTGCTGGCTGCTGCCCTACAAGAAGGTGGGACACAAAACTGGAAACAATGTCGACTCAGAAGCAGTTTTACATACCATTTTATTCATTAACACATTTACACTAGGTATTCCTAGAATGTTTGCAAAAAAAATATCAAAATTATTTTATATTACATTCTGTTTCAAATCATTATTTCAAATAAAGTAGTAGTAGTACTAGTAGTACTAGTAGTAGGGTAGTAGTTTTATATAAACCTTAAAACAAAGTATAAGATTAGTCCCCTGCATGACATCAGAGCATGTCTTTAATATTGATCAGCTTTTGTGCATCATAGTAAATGTTATTTCTTTGAAATGTTAAAACTTGGGTCACTTTTGGCGTTCAAGTATTTAATGCACAAATAAAATGTTTCTGATGTTTGTGTTTTTGACTTCCACAGGGTTAATAATGGAACAATTAACTAATTTTGAACTCTGGATGAATCTTACGTACAGATTTGATCAGTCTGTTTTAAATTTTGAAATGTCTCTGATCTAATCAGTCCTTCTGTCTTTAACAACCATATTTAAGTGCAATCCACTATGTTGTTTCATGTTTTAATATAAACGATTTATCCATTTTCTCCTGCTTAGTCCATGTCAGGGTCTCGTGGGGCCGGTGCTTAACTCCGGCAGTCTATGGGTGTGAGGCAGGGCAACACAGAGACGCACAACCATGCACACACCTAAGGAGAATATAGAGAAGCCAATTAACCCAACAGTCATGTTTTTGGACTGTGGAAGGAAGCCGGAGTACCCAGAGAGAACCCACGCGTGCACAGGGAGAACATGCAAACTCCATGCAGAAATACCCAGAACCTTCTTGCTGCAAGGCAAGAATGTAGCGTAGCATTACTACCCACTCTACCACAGTGCAGCTCTATAATGAATTCCATTCAGATAAATGTTTTGTACTGAGATTATCATAAAAGAAAACTGCTGTAAAGTTTGAGTGTAGAAGAGTCTGGAACTTTATTAAAACGACATCTGTAAGAACTGTAAATGAACAGGAAGTAGCAGTTGCTACTCTTGCGGCACAGATGCTTTATGTCAGCTGCATGTTTAGTCTGTTTTCCATTCTGTTTTTTTGCAGCTGAGAACCTCAAAGCTGCACTGTCATCCAAGGCCCGTTCTCTGTCAAGTCACAGCCAGGACTCGGACTCCATGTTCCCTGTCAGTCCCGACGCTCTCGCCGATCCCACATTCGAGGAAAACGGGGGAAGCCTGACTGATGCTTTTGAGTCTCAGTCTGCAGCTGACTTACAAAAAAGAGATGGGAGCTGTATTGATTTTAAGGTGAAAATGTTTTTGATGTTGCTTTTCTAGTTTGTATATAATGAATACTAAATGTATTTCAAGTCAGGTTTCATCATAGCTTCATGGTTTACTGTCTATCCATTCCTGCTGTATAGAAGTCAGAGGTAATAAAGTCTCTCCTAGGTAGTTTTTTTACCATCCTATTTACAGATATCAGCCAAGGCTCCCTTCAATAATTAATCACTGTCAGAATAACATTACAATCTCAATGTTTTGAATAATTGATAAACTTGTAATAAAGGGAAGTCCATTTCACTCTTTAAAATCCTACAGCATTAAAAATAGATATGGAGGCTTATTCCAAAGCCTTTAGCGCTGTGCTCTCTGCAGCCTCTGTGACCTGTGAGGTAAATTACTCCGATAAGAATGAATCGTTTTCTTATCAGCTCCTGCCAGGTAATGTGCTATTAAATAGAGCTGTAGAGATTAGTTTAGCCTGAAGGGGGCACAATTGCTGCATAGATGTATTAGATTTGTTCTTGTGGGTTTTTTTTTTATTCATACAATAAATGAAATGTATCTCAAACTCCCAGTTCATCTTTTTATTTAGGAATGTGTTAAAAATAGCTAACATTTATGAGCACAGCTGATCTAATGACCTGCATCATTATTTATTTATTTATTTTTCATCTACAGGCTGCAGAGAGTGTCCAAACCCTGACTCAGCTGCTCTACAGTTTACAGGTAAGGGCAGTCGTAGAAATGCAGCAGTGCCTTGCAGAACTTTTCATAATCCAGAGGGATTTTCTAACCTTTCATTAACTTAGATGTGAATTTACCTGGATTATAAATATTTGGCTGTATGTCTCAATTCAGCATAAATTATATAAATCAAGCTTTATATTGAACCTTGAAAGCAGAATGTTTTTAGCGATCAGCATGAAGACCAAGTAGTCCAGTTTTGGTCTCTTCTGCCTATAAAGTTTGTGGGAATAAGATTTCTAGTAACTTTCCTACAGCAATGTCTTTCCTTGCTTTCTTTTTATCGTGGTAATATTTAAGTATTAAACTACCAATCTCTAGCCTGTTCTAGCCTGTAAATATAGGTATTGGTTGGCTCTCAAATTGAGCAGAAAAACAACGGGACCTTTCACTTTTATTTAACTAGAAAAAAAAACTAAATCATATAGGGGCTCCTTCAACATATCTTCCAGGCACTGTGAAGCCTATACCTTTTTTATTCTTTGTTTACCTACCAAACAGGTATATTTGCTAGTTAGTCACACGGGGATCCAGCCTGAAGCTCCAGGTTCAGCAAACAGAGCAACATCTCTGTTTGATGGTTTGAAGCAAAAGTAAGCAAGCAACCAGAACACTTCCCCAATGATCCTTTTTTCTGCTCAGGGATACAGGGGGGTCTTTTGTTTTTTGCGATGCACACAGCCCTATCTTGATATAAAATGTAAATTCATGTAGCGAGGGTGTGGATTTGCATTCGGCGTATGTGTGAGTTTGTGTGTTCTCTTTCCTGTTCAGGTTTGGGGTTTTTATCACTATTTGATTTTCATATTCAAAGTTTTTGTATTCCCTTGTATGTTTGAAACCAAAACCCACAATTCTGTCAGTAAGGGGATATGAGGAAAATGAAAAAAACTAGGGCACCAGCTGAACCTGACCATAATTTCCATGATCATTTGCCTTTCAAATTACCAGCTGCCAGATGCACATATGCTGCAAACAGTGAGGTGAACCTTTTTTTTTTTAAATATCTTTTCCTACTTCTTTGTGTTAGGCTGCCGTAACCATTCAGGACACTTGCTATGAGGTCCAGAGACTTCTACTCCAAGCGAGTGAGCACACCTCGCCCCGCAGCCACTGCTTGCCCCTCCACGGCCTTCGCAGCAACACCCTGCAGGAGCAGGAGAAGCAGCGCAACCTGGAGAAACGCAAGGAAGAAGTGGCGGCAGCCCAGCGGCTCCGGGAACGGCTGCGCCAGGAAAAGGAGCGCTGGGAGCGAGAGTGCCAGGCAAGAGAGAGCCAGCAGGTGGAGCAAGAGAGCAAGCTGGAGGAAAGGGAGAAAAAGTGCCAGCTGGCTGCAGAGAAACTGAGGCGGGAAAGACAGGAGCTGGAGGAACAACTTGAGGAGTACCAGCAGAGCCTGGAGCGGCTCAGAGAGGGTCAGAGGAGCGTGGAAAGGGAGCGGGAGCGTCTGGAGGATCAGCACAAGCTGCTCCAGGCCTGGAAGCACGGTCGGCAGAGCAGCCTGCCCGCTGTTATACCTCACATGGTCATCCCTCTAGATGTGCAGCAGGTAGGGCCAAGCAGCTGATGTTAAACGAACCAGCCTTCCTCCTAACAGAAACTCTTGACCCTTTATGAGGTGTTTCACAAAGCATGGTTTATCCAGTATTCCTTCCATGAACCCACTAATGAGATTCTCCTTCTTTAAAGAGCTATCAGCTTTCACCAGTTCACTCGTTCCTCCACAGCAGCTCAGCCAGCCTTGATATACAAGCTGTGATAACAAGAGCAATTTCAGCACCATTTGTCTTCATGCTCTAGCAGCTCAGCTCACCAGTAAACATCTTAATGATTAATGATAATTAAACTGCTGCAAATAAAAGCCTGAACAAAATAATTAAACCTGAGGCACGCAGCCCAGGGAACCAATCAGTTGTGTCCTGAAGGCCTTGAATTATTGACACTGTTTGAAAAGCCCTTTATTAATATTCACCCTGACGCTTTAAGGCCTAAAGGGTAAAAGGTCACCGTTCTCTGAGGTTGTTTGCCCCCAACAAACTGATATATCTCAGCAGTTTGAATGATGGAGCTAATCTACCACATAAAGCGCATACAGTACCTTCCAAACTGTATTCACTCAAAGGTATCTAATGGTCAGATTGCAAGGAGACCATGTGCAAATGTTAAGTCTCATGTTTAATAACAGTTTGATGATTAAATTCAAGTTCAGTTTCTATTCAAGCACCAATATAACCCCTTTCCTTAGTTGTCTGACTGATCCATCTGTCCCTCCAACCAGTCTTAAAGGTATAGTGGAGGATTTTTGTGAATTTTTTTAAAGACCCGCCCTCTCCACTTTAAAAAAAAAAATGCACAGGCACAACCCTGTACCCGTTCCTGAGAGGGAATGCCTATTAAACGCTATTGATAACATGCACAACCCCTTTTTTCCTCCTGCACGCTCTGTTTAAAAGTTGCTATTCTCATAGCTCATACAGGCTTACTGTGTCTGAACGCTCACCCTAACCCCTCGGCCATTTTCAAAGAACCACAGTGAGAAAGGTGAGCTTCAATGACTATCTGAAACCTTAGCTCACCCCACATATATACCTGAAAGTGTGCATGCGCAGAAAAAGATAGCTAACGGGACGAGCACATAGGATGGCCTTCGATAAAAGATCGTCCTCTATACCCTGAAGTTAGTATTTTGCACTGACTAATCTTGTGTTTAATTGCATACATCCTACAATAGAGTCCAAACAGTAAAAAAAATTCACAGGTTAATGCTGCCACGGCCTTGTTTCACTCTGAGAATGGTTTCTTTATTTTGCATGAAGGCCCAACGCTTTGGTTTTAGCCTCAGCCGACCACAGCACCTGGTGTCACGTGTTTAAATTGATTTGGTTCTGTGGTTTTCTTTTGGTAAAGGCTTTCTTCTTGAAATGTCTTGTTGAGTGAATGTCTGACTAGCTGTCTTCAACACAGTAAAAGAAGTTTCAGAGATGCAGACACACTTTTCTCAAATCCCAGTGTAGAAATCCTTAGCAAATCACATCTCTTTTTCCTCTATAAATATACATTTTGTGCGTGTGTGTGTCTGTCTTTGAATCCAGGTTGCTTCTGAAAAGGGCATCCTGAGGAATAACTTTGCTAATCAGCTCTTATTAAATGCCAAATTAAAAAAAGACGTAAAAGTCGCAACTGTAAGATGACACATTCTAAAAGCGTTCAGTAGAAATGAATACTTTTTCAGTGCATCTCTGCTGGCCGGTGACTCTGCGCCAGAACAGACAGATAAATGAGCACACTCGGGTTACAATATTCCCCTTCTCCCTCATTAATTTACACACAACCACCATGGGCTTTTTTTTTTCTTTTCTTTTTTTCGGCTAGATATCATAAGGCTCTCCATGCTTTGAGCAGACTTACTGTATGTATTTCCATTCATCTATTTTAGTCTCCACAAAGGCCGCATTAAAAAAGCGGTGCACGCACAAAAGCCGGCGTTGGCAGTGGAGGTTCTAATGTTTCCTTGGTAATGTTTTAGCCTCAGGCAGTAGTTCAGAGGGTCAGAGACAGATCGAATGACACACACACACACACACACACCCCTATACACACACACACATATATATCAGCTCTCAGGTCGTATCTAATTAGCTGTGCTGCCTCAACAGTGGAAAAGCTCTGTTGATGTGATCAGTGGACAGAAGAGAGAGCCCATGATGGTACAGTAGGAGAAGACTAGAGGCCCACAAGAATGGTATATTGCAAATTTAATGCAATATCAATCAGTCGTCATATTATACAGAACTACCTGAGCTGTAACAAGTGTTAGCTTATTACTTAAGGGCTGAGCATTTCTCTGTCTGTTATATGTTTGATGACGCCTGCTGTTTGATGTGGGATTAAAAGCTTTATGAGGCTCAGAGGTGGTGAGATTGTAAAACCATTCAGGGAGCAAGAAGCAATTATTTTTTTTAGAGAAAGAGAATTAAAAAACAGTAATGTAAAGAAATAAAAGCATCTTTTTAGATGAACATCACCGCTAGCAACAGCTCTCTGAAAATAAAATGCAGCTCCAACTTGATTGAATTGCTTCAATTGGTAACAAGTAATTGAATCAACCTTTTCACCAATCTGTCTGTTTGATTTGATTGAAAAGACTCTGTAACGTGCCTTGACTTGACATCTGTTGTGAATAAGTGAAGTAAACGGTGGGACTTTTTTTTCTCTGTCTGACAGGCCTCTCCGCCATATAACTCCAGACGGCACGCCGGTAACGGCTCCGTGTTTGTGAACGAGGCGGCGTACGCTGGTGACAGCTTTAACAACCGCCATGTCCACCACAAACGGAATGACCCGAACGCACACAATAGTTTCAACAGCCTGCTGGACAGATCTAACAGACAGTACCCTGTTGTATCCAACCCTCTTGGATCAGGATACATCTACAGTCCCATAGGAAGGCTACAGCACTCGACCAGCGGTAAGACAAACCTGAAAGCTTATTGATAGAAGGGTGGTTTATTATTGATACTGGCTGGACAGTTGGTCTTATTCAGTATCTTTTGTATAATAGGCTTAGATTCAGATAGTTGTTCCCTTAAGTTTCCTTCACCTAGTAAAACAACTAATGCAATGATGATTATTGTTTTCAAGATTGTCTGTACATTTTAAAAACACCATAATAATTTCTATGTATAGACAAATATGGAAATGTTGTGACTCCCCCTCTTTTTTCTGTGCGTCTTCTATTCTCCCTCTCCTCAAATATTTCTTTAATGAAGCTCTTTTGTCTTGTTTGCTTTTGTTTCTTCTTTCCTGCATAGTTGCCTATATCCAAACCCTCCTTATTTTTAATGTCTGTGCTATGCTCCTTCCCAGTGTTCTCCCTTTTGTCTTTCTTGTTTATCTTGTTTCTTCCTTACTTAGGAAGTCGTCCTTCCTTTCTCGTGTTTTCTCCTCATTCTTTCCTCTTTGTTGTCCTACCTCCCTTTCCATCTCTCCTTCCTTCTGACTTCCCTTTTTAACTTTTATCTTTGATTCATTTCTTTATTCCTTACATATTTTATTCCCTTCATTTTACATCCCTTCCATCTTTAATTATGTCTTCCCTTAAGTTACTTTTGTTCTACTGTCTTCTTAAATCTTTCTCTTTTCATGTTTATGATGAAAATTCTGCTCTTAGCAAAAGATGAGTAGCATTTTAAAATCTATGCAAAGGACCGGGGCCCTCTGGAAAGTGGGTTCTGGTATATCATATTGTTTCTTTATACATTTGGAGTGCACCATATCGCATCTAACAATGTTTGATTGAGTTGTATTGTAAAGGTTACCACAAAATACTGTTTCATATTGCACAGAAAAATCTTTTCCTTTGTTGCTTTAAAGTATTATTAGGGATGTCCCAATACGATATTAAAAACTAATATCAGATTTTATTGTCCAGCATCTAAAATCTCCGATATTTTCATGCTGATGACTATGAAAACTGCTTTTGTTAAAGTTTTTGTAACTTACTGGTTAATTTTATATGGGTCATTTGTTTCATACCATTTGCTGTTGAATTTTTATCCCTGTTTTAGTAATATAACTTGATCAAGCATCTTCTAATATTCTACATATTCTGTATAATCGTATCTGCTCAATATCGGTATTGGCCATTTCTCAAAGCCGCAATATTGGTATCATATCGGAAATGAAAAAGTTGCATCAGGAGACCTGTAATTATTTTATTTTATCGATTCATATAGTAGGTATTGTTGATTACATCATGTTTGTTTTTTTATTTGTTATTTAATTTATAATTTACATCTGCTCATTGTGTTAGGTGACCAAAACCATTAGGGAAGAATCTAAATGAACCCTTCAACCATTTCTAACATTAATGCTCTATTTGAAGATTAACCATAGTAGGCGGCTTTAATGGACACAGAAAAATAGCACCTAAGATCTTCTCAAAAAGTTTGTGCTTTAAAATATTCTCTTTATTTTCTGTAGCGCATGAAAAAGAGGGGTTAAGTAAAAATCATCAGTGAGCCAGAGCATATTTTCTGTTTGCGGCAGTTTGTGTGTCCTTTAGTCTGTCCTTAGGTTGAGTCCAAATCTCGAAGTGGGAAATGAGAGGTTGATGAAATACAGATATTTTAAATATTTAACTCCACCACGGTTATTAGTACCGGATAAGGATTGAAAATTGAGTCAGCGGACACAAGTAAAGGACATTGGCTTAGGGGAGACTTGGAATAGAACTGCTGCCTCTTCTCACTGAAAGGCGTCCACTGAGGCGGTTCAGATATTTGACCTGTAGGAGACTTTTGTGACTTACTGTGGAGAATTTCTAGGCTTGTTCTAATGTAGGAAAACCTAGAGACAGACCAAGAGGACTGAGACACTACATCTCTTGTCTGGAAGTTGTTTTTGGATTATCTCTCGACCTCTTTTCATAACCACCAGATCACAGACACAAAAGGATTCATGTATATTTTGATAGTCACCTAATTCTAAGGAGATGCACAACTATTAAATCATGGAGTTGATGTCAACTCTAGCAAGCTAGCATTAGGTAGCCGTAGCGTACCCTCACATGTCCTGTTGTTCTCTCCAGTGTGTTTCATCTTGTCCCCCCGCAGACCTATCTGGCTCTCGTCTTTCACTCGGACTCTGACAGCTGCCTCAGACTGAGCAGCAGTCTATAGCTCTTGTGTTTGTGTCACTACAAATCACATCACCGTACTGTTTTCAGACTGTGGAGACGCCTTGCTATTCACAATCTCACCCTCAATATGAAGGTACTTAGTTGTCATAGGAAATAGAACCAAACTGTGTAGAAAAGCGCAATTTGAAATGAGTTATACAAGGTATTAACAGCTAAGGGCATTTTTCCTTTGTTAGTTTCAGTATTTTATGAATTTAGGAGCTGGTTGCCAAGAAACAGGCTGATAAAAGATTTTTAAGGAACAATAAAAGGTAGGAATAAAGGCTGTAAATTACAGGATCCGGCTGCATTTTCAAGCTTAAATTTTGTGCAATCGTACCTAACAGGATTATGTATGTTGATGCTACTGACACAACAAGGGGCTCTGTTGTCAGAGAAACGTTCTGCCTGTGAGAATCTAAACAAAGGCAGAGCTTCACTGGTTTCACCCACGTATGCGCACTGAGCTTCAAGGTTGTATCCCTGGTGAGGCCTAGCCCCCCCCCACATCCACCTCTACCTGCTCCGGCCCCCATCCCACCCTCACCCCTCAGCACCCTGCCGAAGGAGGAGAAAATCAATGCTTTCTGTATCTATCGCCTGTCAGGGGATACAACAGTACGTGAATCACAGTTCACAAGCGAGGGGTGACTGATTAGGACATTGATCTAAAAAAAATCTTTACAAAACTCATTACTGCATGACTTGTCATCACACCAGGTGAACAGAGGAGGGGGGTGGAGGTGTGAGCTGTGAGAGGGCAAGGAATGAGAGATCCAGACATAAATTAATCTATGTTTCTCTCAGGGGGTGTCAGCAACACTCTCGTGTTTCCCGTCTTTCATTCTAATATCAAGCTTGGCAGATGAGGAAAATAACAGATTGCGTTCAGCGTGAGTGTCAGCTCTGCGCAGAAATGGGGTCGGCGCTAGCTGCGTCCTCCCCAAGTTCCTGGAATTGTTTACCCGCCGCGGCGGGCGGCACAGTCTCTCTTTAATTGATTAGCTTATTAACCTTTCCCCATAATCGAGCGCACACAGGCCCTGATGAAACCTAAGTTACTTGTTAACAAGCCAGGGGATATATGGCTGCAGTTTACATGGCAGGGGTTGCTTAAGATCATATTTATCTATAATGGCTTGCTCAGCAAGGGGCCTGAGATGAACTAATCCAGACAGAGAATATAATTACTGACCTTCTCTTAATTTCCTGCTTGATTAAACATCCCTATTAAGAGCTGTCCTCTTATTTTATGTCGATCCAAGGTGTCTCTGCGTGACTTTTCACCTAAGTTAAAGTACAAAGACGAACGAGATACTTTATTTTTAGTGAGGAAAAATGTATTCCCTTTCAAATGCAAATTCTCCACTGTGCCGCCACGTGGATCACAATATAATCTTATCCCGCGCCGTTCCTTAATATGAAACTAGCTCTCTCTAATTCAGTAAATTTCCATAATTTGATCCAGGACAATGCAGTCTTGAAGGGCCAGTTGGATGAATTTTACAGAGACGATGCCGATAAGCAAACCAGGTATTAGTTCCTCTCAAGTAAGGGAAAGGAGAGATGAGTGAAAGGAGCAGAGCAAGATGAAACCACTGCACCTTAATGGCGCTATGTAGATGAATCAGAGCCTCGTGGAAAGAGCTAAATGACTCACAAAGCTTCTCTGTCGCTTCAGCTTCTCAGACACTGTAGATTTTCTTTGTTTCTCAAGAGGGAGGATAAAAATATGTGTTACATTTCAGAATACAGTTAATCTTCAGTTATTTTTTCCTGTTACTCATTTTAAATAGTGCCACGCTTATTTGCTTTTGTTGGATTATGCTACCTTTACCTGGATTTAGATGTGACTGGTTTTCTTCAAGAAAAGAGACCACAAGATTAAATGCGTTTCATGGGGATTTTATATTACACACACACACTAAAAATGAGTGGGTCATAAATAACTGAAACCTGATTATTTCCTGCCAAGCTGCTGAGCTATTATTGCACTGGACCAGCAGTAGTTGATTTGACCCAGCAAGATGGGTTTGTCTGTTATAATCCAACAAAGGGGTTCTAATATTCTACCCAAATTATGGGTTAAATGTTTTCAAACATCCATGCAAATTATGAATTAGTTCAATTAGATCACTCACTAAATCCCAAATGATAAAACAGAAAAGCTGTATTGATGTGTGCTTCCTTGATAAAAGCTACATGGCTATCTTTAGCGAAACCAACCAATTATCCTTGACAATAAAACACAATACTTTAATATGTTACACCACACAAACAATGTGAATTAATTATGTTCTTTGCACAAACCTTTTATTTATGTTTTTCTACAAAGACAGTCTGTCAGGTGCTCTGAATGTGTGAGCTAATGGTGAATAGAGCAGGCAGCTTGTCACAGTCATTGGCTTGGTGAGTTCCCCAGGTGGAGCATGTATTTCCAGGTGAATTCAAATCAAAACCAGGTGCTGGGTCAACCGATGCATGTTTGGTTATTGGATTTGGAAAAACATTTTGACCTAAAGCATGGGTTGCACAAATAAAGAACCCAAGACCCAACTATCTTAAATATATCTCATAATAGGGAAAGAATTTCATAACCCGGCATTTGGATAGATAATATAACCCAGCACTTTTAAGAGTGCAGGAAAATAACATAGTAGGCAACTGTAATCATGGATAACGTTTTCATTTCACATTTTTTGATATAATTAACTTCAGGATGTTTGAACATCCAATCACAGACCCGATTCAGTGGCGCATCAGATGCGTATAAAGTGAGCTTCTCAGGA